AAATTCTACTATTTGGATTTGATTAGGGTTCTATATTCAAAGGAAAATCGTGGCATGATAGATGTTTTAATTGTACTATATGTCAATCGTCATTATTGAACAATAAATTTGGCTACAAAAATGATCAGTTGTTTTGTCGCGACTGTTATATAAACGAATATGCAACAAGATGTCATCGATGTAATAGACCACTAGTACCAGGTAGATGAACGATACTTTTAAAAGTAACAGATTGATAAATAGACGAGAAAGCATTTTGAATGAATATGATCTACCTGTGTCAACCTAAACTGAATAAAATATTGCGTCTCTATACAACATATAAGAAAAAGGCGGTTAACTCTGAGAAAGATCGTGTTTTATTTTGTTTTTTAATGTTTTATCCTAAACTATCCCTTGTAAAAAAATATAGCTTAAAAATCTGACATTTTGGACTACTCTCACGAGAGAACATTTCTAGGTGATACACTCCATTCGAGCTCATATTTTAGTCATCGACAGGGTCGATGGTATAGATAAAAACCCGAAAAAGATTTGGCCCATTGCTGCTTCGTTCCCGAGAAATGAGCGAAACAAGTTTCTCTATATGTACTATCATTGTGCTTGCAGTGATTATTATTCTTTTTATATCTCAATAACGAAACATTGTTTTGAGCTGACAATGTTTTTACAATCTCATGTCGCATATTACTACTTACAGTAAAACTTTCAATTGAATCTGACTTGTCGTTCGCGAGATATATAGCTTCTTATCTATATGTTTTTGTATGTAGTTAGACCAATCGAGAATCAGAAAAAGAGACTGTTAGCCATTGTTTTTACTGAACAATGTTAATTCATCATGCAGCGTAGAAGCCATCTTCCTCGGAAGGGTTAATCAAAAAATATCACTCGTAAAACGTAGTGGGAACAAGAAAAGGCTTTTTATCGAGTCCCAGTTGTACGCTTGAAATCTTCATTACGAAAACCATGAATTCATCAATTTAAAATTCATGGTTTCTACTGTAGTTTCATTTTCAAAAAAAATACGATGTACTTTCCAAATAAACCCAAACTTTTGTGCAAATTTTGTGCAATATGTTCTTCGTTCAAGGCGATTGCAATGATGAATTGTATGATAAATTATTTGAAATCAAATTCGATAATGATTTTGATACGTTGTGAGGATTAATCATTTTGACAGAAGCTAAGTGTTGGGCTCCACTTAACTTGTTCGATCTTGACTTGTAAGTGCAAATAGTTTATTGAGAAATCAAAAGCACACACTCCAAAAAAATACTAGCCTATGTATATCTAGTCGAGAAAGACATGTAAGATACAGTAGGAAAGATAACGTAACAGGAAAACATGGTGTAATATAAACAACGGTGTCACAGGAAGACATGATGAGATAATGCCTACATGAGAGATCCATTTCATAACCAGCAAATGGTTCTTTTATATTTCAACGCAATAGTTTCAAAGACGTTGTAGCATCTAGGTCTCATGACCGAATAATAGATGTGAACGATGGTTAGAAGAAAGATACAAGTCAGATTCAATTGAAATTTTTACTGTAAGTAGTAATATATAACTTGCGATTTAAAAACATTGTCAGCTCAAAACAATGTTTCGTTATTGAGATGTAAAAAGAATAATAATCACTGCAAGCACAATGATAGTACATACAGAGAAACTTGTTTCGCTCATTTCTGGGGAATGAAGTAGCAATGGGTCGAATCCGTTCCGGATTTTTATCTATACCATCGACCCTATCGATGACCAAAATATAAGCTCGAACGGAGAGTATCACCTGGAAATGTTTCACCTCAGCCTGATATACGTACAAAAGTCAATGCATTTGAACTTAGCTTTGCATCGTTCAGAAAGAAGTACGATATAACATTTTATTATACATTTTTGCTGATGGGATCCGTAGCATCTAGTCTTAAACTATCAAACCCGCTTCATCGAAAATGGTACATGGGAATAACAACAACATACAACGTGTAGGGGTTGGATGCGATATTTCTTCTTGTACTATTCTACCTGCAATACTGCGCTTCTTTTATTCGTAAATCACAAATTTCAATTGACAATACCTGTTTACAGTGGAACATCATAAAACAGAAAAATATACAATAGTTGATTATTTGTTTTAGGCGACAAATGTACAGAATATGATCATAAAATGTATCATTTAGAATGTTTTGGTTGTACGGCTTGCTATTGTCCACTAACTAATATCGAATTTACTAGCTTTGATGATTTTTTGTTATGTGTACCTTGTCATGAACGTCTTGTGTCTATACGTTGCTTAAGATGCGACAAGGTAAGAGTTAAGTTGTTCGTCAGACAAAAGATAAAGAATCATTCGATCTTAGGCAATTAGTGGCAACGGTATTATGTATAAAAATCATCCATTTCACAATGAATGCTTTACATGTACGCATTGTCAAATAATGCTAAAAGATCAACGTTACATTCAGCATGAAGACGAACAGTACTGCTATAATTGTTACATTATGCTGTTTGGTACAAAATGTGTCAAATGTGGTCTACAAATTGATAGTATGTATAGTACTGCACAAGAGTAGGATGGCATTTAACTACTATATAAAGTAGCTTACTATGCCATTGAAGTCGCATGGAATTGTTTCTCCTTGGTAGTGTAAGATCTATAAAGAGGAAGTTGTCCGAGTTAAAATCAGAAAACAGCACAAAAACAATTGCAGTTATTCTTGAGGTCTGCACTTGTCTCGTTATTCGAGGCCCTGGTGAAGTAATGATCTCTTATGGTCATGAAATTTATTGCAGCTTATTGTTAAAAAATGAGGCATCAGTAGACATGTACTAGTTAAAGATATATTACAGTTAACTGGTGTTTTAGTAACCGGTCATCGGTTAACTGTTTAACTGACTCGCTGGCATATCCGTTAACTGCATATCAACGTGCAGAAAGAATAAAGTTTATGCAGAGTCTACAAAATCAGTTAAGGGTACTCCTCACCCTCATTTCTTGTCTTATTACGGGATTGAAACAACTGATTGGGTAGTGTTGGAATTCTTACTAGAGTATCTGCACGAAAACAGGCATATATATATTTTACTCAAACCTTAGAACTCATATTTATATGGTTTTCTGGAAAAAAAGGGTTTTCATTGCGTACCGGATCAATCAATCGAAACTTTGTCCGTTCAAGCTCAAAGTTTTTTCATAGGTACTAGGCTTCAATACGCCTAGGTGTTTTTCGATTTAGGTCTCCAAGATGTACTGTTATTGACTTATAAAATTTTTTTATGGAAAACCGAATTTCGATTTTAAGGCTCCCAAAAATCAGCCGTACTAGTCCCTATGAAGTAATGGTGCTGGAGAGCTAAATCGATTTTTTTTGTAAAATGAGAATCCATAATCGATCCAGTTAACTAGTGTATCTGTGAATCAGTTAACTGATGCCCAGTTACTAAAACACCACTTAACCGTAACTGGTGCAAGTCTAGGCATCGGGAAACTCACAGAGCCATCAACACGAAACACTCAACTAAATTTAGTATTTTATGTGATAATGTCAAAAGAAAACTGAATTCTTCCACCGATTCATATCTAGTGGTAATGTTTGGTCTCATCATAAGGTTGAGAATCTCTCGAATCTTTGAATGGAACGTCGAAAGGAGCTTTTTTGATATTATCAAATAAAATACTGAATTTATTTCAGTTCTTTGAACAAACATTGTTCACGGTCATTTCACAAACAATATTATAGTGTTCAACATTCTCCGACAGCTATAATCACATAAATTTCATAAATATCCAGGCATATGATCGCATGGCTACAAACAGTTATTATACTCATAAAGAGTACTACACATCCAAAACTATTTTCTTTCATTTTAGAGAAAAACTCTTCATATAACATTATTAGAGTGCATGGTTGCATTTGGCACAAAACATGTTTTCAATGTACAAATTGTAGTAGATCACTATTTATACCTCTATCGTATACAATAGATACAGATAACAAATTATTATGTACTTCGTGTGCACAAAAAATCCGTCAAGATAGCAAAAAATCAACATCAGGAAGTTCAAAACGAAGTTCAATATCATATCTGATGACAAGTCGTCAAGCAGTTGATCAAAATTAAACTACCGATTAAGCAACATTTCAATTTATCGTTACACATTGCGTCAACTTAACTTTTACTTTTGGTTTACGAGGGAACATTCCCAGCTGTCCAACCCCGATTTCTTTCAAACATACATCAATCGATAACCTATATCGAGATAGTAAAAAGCCTAAAAGGATTTATCCTCATGGCTCTTGAAGATCCGGTCTGCTGGAAAACCAGTTTTCCAGAAACTCTAAAAAAATAACTAAAACGTTTCTTAATAAGGCATAATTGTCGGCCGAAAATTTCTGATTAAAACGAGACATCTCCTAGTTTACACGACCTTTCTTTGCAAAGTTATAGAATTTACAAGGAAAGCCCTAAATGTTCATTGTCAGGTCAAAGCTACAGAAATAAGACGAAATTAGGCTTAAGTGATTATTTCTATACATCTAATCTCATTCCTTTCACGTATTGACTTTTATTCTATCGAAATATGAAAGGCTCGAAAGTGACATGTTATTTTTCTAGTATTTTCAGAACATGTACAAAAAATAACAAAGTTGAAAAAGAAATCTATATTCTTAATAACTTAACAAATAGAAACAAAAAACAGTGTTTGATGGACACAAATTTGATTAGCATTCCATCAAAACTTGAACAAGAACAAAAATGTGTAGATGATAGAAAGAAAAAAAAGAACAAAAAAAATGGATTGTGCGATATTGCGACTAAAAGAACGAAGTATGTACAACAAACGATTTCTGATTTCAAAAAAAAATAATAATAAAAACGAAAGACCACAGATATTTTAATCTATAAAAAATTATCGCACATAAAGAAAAAGAAGACAAAAAATGAATGACGTAGACGGCATAGACCCAATGAGATAAAAAACCGGGAATTTAATTCTACATTTGTCGAGAAGATATTATTTCGTTAGTTGTAGAACTAGTGACAGATGGTGCCGAATCGTCTAAATCACTGTTTCGATTAAAATCATCTTGATATGCTGACGAAGAACGAGTGTTCAAATGATCAGGTTTAACATTTAATACAAATGATGATGTATTTTCAGTTTTATCTAAATTTGATTGTGACGGTAATCGTATTTCATTTGTTTTAAGCGATGTTATTGAAGTAGTCGATTTTAAGGAAGATGAGGAATGTAGACATTTTGGTGATAATATTGATAAATTGGGATGAATTGCAGTTGCATTAATTGTTGATGAAAATAAGTCATCGTGGTCTTCATCGCCACTGTCTTCATAATCATTCTGATAATTTGATGCTGAGTAACGACGATATAAGGCCGATGATGAACCATTTTTTAAACGTAAATTCATTATCTAAATAAAAGTAATTATTAAATATTGTCTGTACTAATTGTATAAAAACTTGTTTTTATCGCATATGTTAAGAATGAAATGCAAGCAGAGCGGTATGCTTCAGTGATGGGTTCAACATTTTTCTTCAGAACATGAGGTAGGTAAGAACGGTATGAGACTTGTGCGATTGTCATAGCAACACAATTTTTTGTGATAGTTCATTCTGTCGAGCAAAAATCAATTTTTTAATCAAAAAATATGAGCGGTCGCTCGTACCGCTGACTGGATTCGTCATTGGTGTGCTTACATGTTAGAAAATCAAGCAAAAATATGCAATACTACTCTGTAAAAAAAAAAGAGATTTGTGTACTAAACCTAAAAGAGTATAGAAAAGTGCAACCATTTCCAAACTCTTTTAGTTTCCTTAGAAGAAAAGGTATGATACGAAACCGTTTAGGTGCATAAATTCTAACAGATTTGTTTTTAAAAAAAAGTTTTTCTAAGAAAGTGATTTTAGCAGCTTAGGTGTGTTTCCGTAGTAAAGGGCGGTGAAAGCTGAGCCAAAACAATACCTGAAACTTCTGTAATTTTTGATTTTTAACGAAAAATCATGAGGAAAAAACATAACGAAATAAGTAAATGCAGTGATCAATCGTTTCAATGCACTTAAACGGTTCGTACCGTACCTTTTCTTCTACGAAACCTAAAAGGTCTTGGAAATGGTTACACTTCTCTATACCCTTTTAGGTTTCGCACACAAATCTTTTTTTCAGAGAGTACTGTCCTGTTGCTCGCCGAAAAATTTCTTTTTTACGGTGAAAATCGGACAAATGAGTAGAAATTCAATGGAATGTTTGTTTACTCTGTAGGAATAATCTGATAGGAGATGAGTAAGCTTCTTTGACTTCTCTGGTACACAGTAGTAATACGAAATTCAAGCAGATGATTTGATTATTGCAAAAAATGAAGCTGATAAATAGCAAGGTTTAAATAAATGACAAAAAACCTGCCAGTATTTAGAAAACATCATCATTATCAATTTCATTAATGGATTGTGTTTTAATATTTGACAGGTAGGCTAGACTTGTACGTCTCATATATGGTAACGATAAACTGCGAGTTATTCGACTTTTTTCCAACTGAAATTTATAATACAAAGGCTGCATTATTCGAATTTTATAACGAAACTATTCTATTGAAATTGAGACAAGAAGAACATAAATGTTGACAGGTAAGGAAGGCTATTTCATTTCAGACTATGTTTTCATGTTTCCACTAGGTAACATTCATCGAGTTCTAGCAATCTCATGAACTGTTTGAATTAATTATTATCAGATCAATGTTCAGTTTTTATTTGATAATAAAGGAAGAAAATTTGTTTCAATATTATATCACGGCTATGAATCAAATATAGCGTCGAACAAACAAGCTGGCTAATTTATATTTTTTTCAAAAGACAATCTGCTGATCATTTTGCTTTTTTATAACATATTTTTAATAGAGCTAACCAACCTTATTCTTCGATTAGGTTGCAAAGAACACAACCTACAACATGCATGCAACGTTATCAATTTCTTAAAAGCAAAGAATAGAGAGCCCTTGAGAATTCGCACTTAATACTCTTAGTGGCAAAAAAAGAGAAAGCACTATGTGATTTTGCTGTGCCAATAGATAGAAATTAATAAAGAAAAGTTATACCTCTTCTTGCAACTCATTTAATTTGTCTTGTAAATCTCTATCATCAGATAGTTGACCAGTTGTGACTAATTCTTGATTCTAAAACGAAGAAAAGAAAAAAAATGAATCAAATAAATTGAGTTGTTCTAACTGAGTAATTGAATCAATATTAAATTTAGAATATGTTACTCGATATTTGAAAAGTGTCCATTTTCTAAGTGTACTTCTCAGGTGGACATTTAACGAGAAAATTAATTAGCTAGTTCGAGTTAAACCAGCTTGGTTTCACGATTATATTGTTCGTCAATATTCATCAAGTGTACTGGATAGAAATGTGCAGAACGATGACTCTTCACCTATTAAAATGTTCATGGCCTAAATCTGACCTGCCCTAAAAAGTTTTCTGGAATTATGTTCATTTTTCATTGTGGAATGTAATTTATTGAATTCTACTACACACACATATATATATATATATATATATATATAAAACTGTGTCTCCTAACTAGTTGCATTACTATTTTGCTAGTAATAAGTATTGTTCTCTAGTAAAAATATTGTTATTCGACAAAGAGTCCTGTGCTCTCCCCTAACCCACAGATCCTGAGATCTACTCTCATTCTTACCTGCAGATCAGATCAGGACAAAGTCGACCTACACATCTCTAGTACTGTGTTCGAGTCGACAAGTCATGTATGATCAAAGTCTAGCTTGTAGTTAGTAAGCGTGTATCAAATTTGTTTGAAGAACTCTTCTTCAGCTTAGCTTTCTAATCAGAACTACAGTTTGGTAACTATTGATAGTATAATTGACGGCCTACGAAGCTAGGCGATAAGATATTTTTCCTTCTTCTCTTTTCTTTGACTAAACTAGTTTCAAAAATCATCATTATATAAGGTCTTGTTTATATATGTTCAAATAACATAAACATTATACCTGGACTTCTAATTCTGCAATTTTTTGTCGTAAATCTCCAATCATTTGTGTACTTTCAGCATCGCGAATTTTAATCATCATTGAATCTTCTTTTTGCTAAAAAACAAAAGTAGATAAATCAATATAACAAAAAAAAGACTAAAATAAATGTACATACTTTAATTTCTAAATCTCTCATTTGATGTTTGATATCGGTGATTTGTGATCTTAATTCACTTTCTCTTGTCTGATGTTCTTGTAATTCTAATTTGACACGTTGAATTTCGTCATCTTGACGTTTTATTTGATTATATGCAACTTGTTTCTGTAAATATAACCAAAGTTGGACTAATACATCTTTAACTGTAGTCTACTCATTACCTGTGTTTCAGAATCCATGATTTTTTGTGATAATAATTTATTTTCACAATCTGTTTGTGCTTCACGCATTTTTAGTGTCAATAATTCATGTTCAATTAAATCATATTCTTGTGGATTTGATATTTGCTCTTGTTTATTGAATATACTTTTACATTTCTGATCATGTATCTGCATAAAAAAGAAAGAATAGTCATTATTCAAGATAAGTAAAAAAAAAGGTAGAAACTTTCACATAATAAAATTCACATGTAATTTTAGGTATTTGAACAGTCATGCGTGGTAAAACTATTGAATAAAACATATGAAGAGTTGTTTATGCCTTTTCAACATATAACTATTCAAGAAATTCTTACAAATGAATCCTAATGATTTTTTTTCTCGAAAAATTCATACGTGTTAAGTGACGAATAATATTGTCAGTTAATTGTTCAACTTACTTGCCATTCCCTATTTAAATCGGCTATTCTCTGTTTCAATTCATTCATATTAACATTTGCTTCCGCATCTCGCATTTTGACTAAAGTTAATTCTTCTTGTAATGAAGCTATTTCAATCTGAGGTGTTTCTTGTAATCGACGATTCTCCTATAAATATCAGCAATAATTATTGATTCTTTTTTGTTTTAATACTTCATATATACTCGCTTACGTCATTCAATTTTTTGACAGATTCTTGAAGTAGTTTTAATTCAATATTCATTTCACTTTCTTTCAATCGATAATACTTTAATTCATCGTCTGATTGATCTGATTTTGATATGTTCGTAATTGTAGGGATTGGTAATGACAAGAAATCAGATTGTTGATACTAAAAAATAGAACAAACAACAGATATAAATATTTTACATTCTATTGTGTTTCAATGAAGTTTACAGAATTATGTTCAAGTACAATATTAATTGCATCAACAAAAAGAAACTGTTGATGTAAATATTTTTCGACCTTATTTTTCAAAAAGCTTTTTAAAACATCGCGATTGATGCGGCAAACAATGTCCTCTCAATTGTTATACTTTCATTTGAACACGTGTACTAAATTCAAACCTAAAAACTTTTCTAACTTCTCTAAGATGTTGTTCAAAGTTTAATATAACATAAAACTTCAAGAAAGTGAAAAGAATTATATTACAGATGTTCATCTCCTACTGGATGACTTACTGGTGCTGTTAATTCATGGATATTATTTCCTGTAGGTACTGATAATGGTAATGATTGTTGTGAACGATAGACTAATGGAATTTGTTTTAATTCATCACATTGTTTTTTTAAATTACAATTTTCACGTTTTAATTGATAGAGTTCTTCAGCATTTTGAGCATTTGTTACTTGTCCATGTATTAGTCGATTAGCCAAATTTGCACTTTCCTAAATTAGAGACATATAATCATTATAGAAACGATACTACGATATAGAACTTCTTTTTTAACATCAATTTATTATTTTAACATTACTATTGACTTTAAAAAGTACACAACTAGTAGATCTATAAAAAATTCTCATATTATGTGTTTTATTTAAATATTTTTTACAAATTTATATTTTAAAAAACATTTTTATGCAAAATTTTATGTTTGAACTTTCACTGGCTTCTTGAGAAGTTAAAAGTTTTTATTCATCAAGTTTTTAGCACACACTTCCCTATGGTACGGATTACCATATGATAATTTAGATCATTTCTCACTATTTTAATCTTTAACATTTTATTGCTATACCATTCAGAGGAATTCTCCAATTGAATTTTCTCCTAATCTGTCCAGTTTATACAGAATACATAGAACTATATGTCCTAAAGTTTTTTCGACTTACCAACATTATCTGACTGGGAAACAATAAAAAATATTATTAAATTATTGACCAAGAGTCTAATATTGAAAAAAATTTCTGTTCGTTCTCTATTCATCATAAACGCTTGATAACATTGTGTAGAATTCATTTTTGGTTACTTACGAGGGAACATTCCCAAGTGATACGCTCCGTTTCGATTCATTCATATCTCATTCGATAGAGTATATTGAGATAAGAAAAAGGCTAAAAGGATTTGTGCTCTTGACTCTTGAA